GTCTGTGGGTCTTTGGGGATCCACCTGGACAGGTGACAAGCAAAGGCACCTCCACATCAGGCACGGAGCACTGTCTCAGACACTCAGGAAAGAAACACCAGTGCCTTTACCTGTTGGCAGCTGGGGTTCTAACCCTGGCTCAGGGCCCACAGCCCCCGCCTCATGGAATGCCCAGTTTGCAGGGTGCCAAGTCTCAGCCAGGGAGCCCGGAGCCACGGATCCTGCTGAGTGCTGAGCCGTGGGTACAGGAAGGGGGCCCCTGTGCCCTGCCAGGCTCAGTCTTTCTTTCTTTTACGTATTTATTTCCACCTGGATTTTAAGCTGAGTTAGGAACCACCTCAATGGACACATGCTATACACAGAACTCAAACAGGTGCCCTGACGTTCGCTGCAACACCATTCACAGCAGTCAAACAATGGAAACCACCCGAGAGGCCATCAGATGAACAACCAAACACATACACGTGTGCAGTGGACGATTACTCAGCCATGAAGAGAAACAAGGTGCTGATGCGGGATGGTACATGGTTGAACCCAGAACACAGTGAGGGCAGCCAGTCGGACCCACAAAGGCAAACACCGTGGCCTCACTTATAAGGAGTCTCTAAAACAAACTAAACCCATTGCTGTCCAGCAAATTCTGACTCACAGAGCCCCTACAGGACAGAGTAGGACTGTCCCCAGAGGGTTCCCAAGGCTGTATATCTTGACAGAAGTAGATTTCTGATCTTTTCCCTGCAGAGCAGCTGGTAGACTCTTGAACTGCAGCTGATACTTTAACCACTGCACCAGCAGCTGTAGAACAGGCAAATGCACAGAGACCAGAGTTCATCGGTGGTTACTGGGGGCAGGTGGGAGGGGAAGGGGCTCACAGAATTTCTGTGAGGGCGCAGGAAACTCTGGTGATGGACAGTGGTGACAGATTCCCAACACGGGGGATGTGAGCAATGGCATTGAATGTGCACCTGAAAATGGTTGAGCGGCAAATGTTCTATGTGCTTCAACACAATAATTTAAAAGGGGGGGGCCATTGGAAATAAAACTGGGGGACACCAGGGCAGGGGACAGTAGTGCTCACCCCACCTGCTCTTTCCCTAGCTGCCCATTTCTTTAGTAGAGTGTTATTCTCATAGTAAAAATGAACAGTGGCCAACCAAAGCTGGGTCAATACTGAGCAGCTGACCCAATATTCTGGAGCAGCATGGCGACCCTTCAACTTAGACCCCAATTCTGAACCTCTAAGCATAAGGCACGGTACACGTTGCCCACCACTGACTCGGTGAGGCGATGGGGGTGCCCACAGGAAGACTTTGGATCAGCCTCATTCCCCCTGAGGACCCTCAATGAACAACTGAGCGTATGTAAAGAAACCGGATGCATTTCTCACACACCTAATTCAGATGTCAGATTCCTGAGGAAACCCTTGAAATCCTGATCAGACCCCACAGGAGTAGCACTGGGGCCTCACCCTGCATTTAATGCGGAGGACACCTAGCTGTGCGCATAAAGCCATCTGAATTCTAGCTGCAAGGCCGCAGTGGGAAAGAACACGCTCTACCTGGCTGGCTCTTAACCATGTGTAACGTGTTTGTTGCTGGTGGCTGTGTTTGAGTTGCCCCCGACTCATGGTGACCCTGCACAATGGGCTGGAACACTGCTGGGCCCTTCACCATCCCCACTGCAGCTCAGAGCACTGTGACCTACAGAGCTTTCCTGGCTGACCATTGGAAGGAGATTGCCAGGCCTTCCTGCCGAGTCTCTCTTCCTGTGGAAGCCCCACTGAAACCTGCTCAGCATCCCAGCAACACACGAGTTTCTGCCGACAGACGGGTGGTGGCTGCAGAGCAACTGCAATGCCAACAAGCGAACACGAGTCTCCCACAAGGCAGGCAAGGATGCTACACTGAACCACTACTGGCTCCTTGTAACTGTGGTTGTCGTTAGGTGCTACTGAGTTGGCTCCGACTCACGGTGACCCTGGGTACAACAGCACAAAACACTGCCCACTTCTGCGCCATCCTCACAGTCCTTGCCATGGTCGAGCCCATCACTGCAGCCACTGTGTTAATCCATCTGGTTCAGGGTCTTTCCCTTTTACGCTGACTCTCTACCAAAGAAGTTCTGCTGGCACAGTGGATAAGGCACTCTGCTGCCATCCAGAAATTCGGGTGTTCAAACCCACCAGCTGCTCCACAGGAGGAAGATGAGGCAATCTACTGCTGGCAAGATTTACAGCCTTGGAAACCCAATCAGGGTCACCACGAGTCAGAATCGGTAAGACGGCACTGGGTTTGTTTTTCTACTTCACCAAGCAGATGTCCTTCTCCAG